GGGGGGGTGCACTCACTCTTCTTGCAGTTGGTGCATTTGCATCCCTCGCACTTGCAGGAGTCGGTGCAGGTGCAGGAACCACCTAGAGTGGGTGATGCCACAGGAAGGATTAATGCGGTAAAACCCCAGTGGCCCCGGGCCTAGGAAGAGATGGGCTGCCGGATCCCGTGCTCTTCACGACATGGGCATCCTCATCCTTCACGAGGTTCACAATGGGAAATAAGGGGCCCCTCCCCCAAGTGTCCTTGAGCAGAGCGTGGGGCGTGGGATTCTTTGCCGGTAAAGGGGTGCGCTGTGCCGCAGGAGGGAGGCGGGGGCTCACCAGTAGGGCAGGGGCAGGTCTCAGGGTCCATGTCGAGGCAAGCAGCACTGGAGACGGTGACTTGGCTCCTCCAGTAAGTGGACGAACTGCGTGGCTAGTGGCAGCAGGTGGCAAGGCTTTTATAGCCCCGGGCGGGGGCGCGCATGCCAAGCCCGCTGGGCGCCCGCCCCTGCGCACAACGCCCGCTCTCGGTCTGTGCGCACGGGTCCAAGCGTACTGCGGCAAGTGTCCCCCTGTCCCCGCCGCTGCGGACGCTGTGCCCGGGAGGGCTCTCCCCGTACCCCGCCCTGCAGCCGAGTGCTCGGCGGCTCCCCGCCCTGGGAACCACCCGGGACGCGGCCACCGCCAGAGGAAGTGAGCACGTACCATCTCTGGAAGTGGAGGGAGGCAAAGATGTTTTGTGCATTTTCCAACCCTTTCTTGCCTTGTGGCCCCGGTATCCTGGAATTTTGGCGCCAGTTTCGTCCAAACGGGGTGCTGAGCTGGGGGCAGAAAGAGACCCATCACACTGAGCCTGACGTGCAGGGACGAGGGTCGTCTTCCATTCCGCCTCCATCCTGCCCAGCACCTTGAGATCTGTGACTCCTATTGCTCCGTTATGCAAATCAGGAAAAGGAGGCCCGAAAGGAAGATCCTCAAAGGTCCCAGAACGAGCCTGAGACAGAACAAAGCCTAGCACTCAGAACTTAAGTACTCAGAGGGATTATTAGTGGGGGCATGTCCCCATCACCCCTCCCCCATTCATCCAGGAAGGAGGTTTATCAAAGTCAGTGAAGACGCATAAGATTTTTCTATTTACAGAAGAAAGCCTAGGTACAACCATGCTTAGATAGGGGATTTAAATGCAAAGTAGGTAACGGGGACCTATTACCTTCTACTCCAAGTCCAGACCCAGATTCAGCTCTGGGGAATAACTCCCCCACTTCCTGGTTGCTGGAGTTCTGACATCATATGCCAAGGTCAGCGGTGGGACAAGGACATGCACGACGCTCTCCACCTCTGCTGCCTTCCAAGGAAGTCTGCCAAGAGGATCCTTCACAGTTGAGCAGGGTAATTAGGGCAATCCCTGGAGAAGCAGAGTGAGAGAAAACTGCTCTTCAACAGACAGGTCATCCAGGAGCCCCCACCCCCCAAGTTTGGGGTAGAGGAGAGAAGAAGGGGGCAGGGCTAGGAGAGGAACTCTGTTAAGGGCATTTTAAAATACCATTGTGTGGTCCATAGTGTAACTGTCTCCTTAGTCCCTCTGAGACTTTCCAAAAATCTGCCTTGCTTGCCAACATTTTCACAGAGTTGGGGTCAGAGTTGGGGGCCAGGGGAAATGGAGCATTATGATGGGCCCCAAAGAAAGGCCAGGGCCAGTTTTGGATGAAGAACCAATCACAATGGGGAAATCAGCCCCAAGAAGAAAACATTTAAACCATAACCCTGGGTGAGGAAAGGGCAGGCCACTGTCCTCCAGAGCCAAAAATGGAGTCAGAAACATTATGTTGAGAGTCAGGAGGCTGTGTGGGTGGAAATGTTATTTCTGACACTGATTAGCCATTCAGGTCCTTGCTGGAAGTCTCAGTAAACTCAACAGGGAAAATGAAGACACTCGCTACCCAAGAACCAGAGGAGCAAAGGAAAAGCAAGAGACAAGGGTCACAGGCTGCAGAAGTAGGAGGCTGGGCAGTGTGGCATTCCAGACACGGCGACCACATGGTGACTCCCGCAGGAAGCCCTCACTTTTCCTGCCTGTGGTGCAGGGGTCCTTCACATAGTTGTCTTGGGGTTTATCTGAGGAACAAGGCTTGCTTAGGAAGGGAGTAAAAAACAAAAACAAAAATCAAGATAATTCCAGGTGCCTACAGTACAGTGTTTGAAAACTGGAGGCCAGAAGGATCAGGATCCTTAGATGGCTGGAACTTCCATTGCCTTCCCCAGAGTGGAAGTTCCTCCACATGTCCTCTCAAAGGCTCTCAATACCTCTCTCACCCTGACTTTCACTTCCTTTTAAAGAGACATCCCCTGGGCACCTCGTCTCTCCCTCTTTGGAGGGGTTCTCAAACTGCTCCCCAAGGAAGGTTTCAGAGTTTGGTTTTACAGAGAAGGGGATACTGGGACTCCACGGAGAGACTTAGCATGGCTCCAGCTGTCCCTATGCAAAGCTGAGCCTTGGTTCCCAACAGGAGCTGGGCAAGTTCTGTGAACTCTTAGCTGGAAACCCTTCTCCCCCAGTGTTAGTGGACATAGGTCTCCAAACGGCCTCCACAGAGGGGCCGAGCTAGCTAGTTTCCCCAAACCGTTCTTTGCAGGGCCACCATGTAATGGTCCATGAGGCGAAGTTTCAGTGAAGTGGAAGGAGGAGAAAATAAAAAATGAGAAGAACAAGGAGGGGAATATAGAGGAGGCGGAGGAAGAGATGAGGTCATTTAACATCTCTTGAACTTGAAGCTCAAGGTGGTTGGTGGTTCTCAGCCCCCAACTCTAGCACCAGATTTGTGTCTGTTCATTTGTTTTCATTTTTTTAAAAGTATTTTTTTTTAGTGTCAATGGACATTTATTTATTTATTTATTTAAAGTGGTGCCGAGGATGGAACCTAGAACCTCACCCACGCTAGGCAAGGGTTCTACCCCTGAGCCACAACCGTAGCCCTGCCTTCATTCTTCCTCTGGCCTCCTATTGCCCTTCCTAGGCCCTGACCCTTGGGTTTCTGTATCCAGGCGCCTCTCTTGGTTCCCTGTGGCTTCTCAGGTTTCTGAGCTGGAATGCTGAGATAGTGAGAAAGACAACATCTTTCTGAAACACCCTACCCCTCATTCTTGGGCCCTTCACCCCTCAGGCCTCAACCTCTGTGACCTCTGAGAGGCCTTTCATGTAGATGTGTTGCTCCAGGGGTCCCCTCACTGCCCCCCTTAATTCCCCTTGCACCCCTTGAGCCCATTTCCACAATGTGAAATCTCGTCGTCCAAATCCCCGTGCCTTGCTTTTCCACCCCCAAACATCCAGGCAACTCCCGGATTCACTTCTTTCTTAGCTGTTTGTCCGGGCTCCAATCTTGCTTTCCCTGTGAAGCCCACCATGATCAGCCTATTTAAAATTATAGCAGGGCCTTGTGGATGCTACGGCCTAAACATGATGCCTGAGGCACTTACGGATCTGAAGGCCCAAAGATGGATGTGTACCTGAGGAACCTCCGGATCTGGGGGCCTAAACATGGACACCTGAGGAACTTCCGGATCTGGGGGCCTAAACATGGACGCATGAGGAACTTCTGAATCCTAGAGTCTCAACATGGATGTGCACCAAAGGAACTTCTGAATCCTAGAGCCTAAACATGGACGTGCAACTGAGGAACTTCCAGATCCAGGGGCCTAAACATGGACATACACCTGAGGAACTTCCAGATCCGGGGGGCTAAACATGGATGCCTGAGTCATTTCTGGATCTCAGAACCTAAACATGGATGCCTAAAGAACTTCCGGACCCGGGGGGCTTAAACATGGACGTGCACCCTAGGAACTTCCAGATCCGTGGGCCTAAATATGGATGCCTGAGAAACTTCCGGATCCATGGGCCTAAACATGGACACCTGAGGAACTTCCGAATCCGGGGGCCTAAATATGGACCTGCACCCATCGAACTTCCGGATCCTGGGGCTTAAACATGGACGTGCGCCTGAGGAACTTCCAGATCCGGGGGCATAAACATGGATGCCTGAGGAACTTCCGGATCCTGGGGCTTAAACATGGATGTGCATCCGAGGAACTTCCTGATCCGGGGGCCTAAACATGGACACCTGAGGAACTTCCAGATCCTATAGCCTAAACATGGACCTGCATCCGAGGCACTTCCAGATGCTAAGGCCTAAACATGGACGTGCGCCAGAGTAACTTCCAGATCTGGGGGCCTAAACATGGATGCCTGAGGAACTTCCGGATCCAAGGGCCTAAACATGGACGTGTCCCTGGAACTTCTGGGTCCTTGTGCCTATAAAGGGTAGGGCATGACTCTCAGAAGGGATGTGGCCCATGAAGGGGAGCCGAGTAAGGGGCCTGTTGAGAGGCAGACTGAGCTGTCACACCCTGAACCTGAATGTGACAGTGGCCTCATTTCCCAGCCTTCCCTGGGTGTCACTTCCTCCCCTTCCAGGTGGTGCTGGCGAGGAAGTGAGACCAGGCGCAGGGGCCAGGCCCTGAGGAGGGACACCATCTTTCTCCTCGCTTAGCCAGGCACCTGGCCTGGCTGGGGACAGGGACGTCTTGTGACACTGGCTGCCTCCTGTATCCCTACCCCAGGACCTCAGGGACCACAGGCGGGGACAGTTGTTGATTCTTCCGTGGTCGATGACCCTCAGCCCTGGGGTCTGCCCAGGGACAACTCTGTCTCCCAGAGGGTCAGGGGGCCCCTGTGACCTGCTGCTCCTTACCCACCGTCATCCTGGGCGAGCACAGATCAGGACACCAGATGCTACTGAGAGTGACATCCCCTAGATGGGCGACTGGGGACTTTGCCTCTGTCCCCAGGCCTTGGACACGGGATGATCCCCCTCCCCCCCCCCCCGACAGAAAATGACCCCACACTGCCCAAGACTTATTTTTAAGCTTTGGATTCTGAAATTTTCCTGCTGTCACCTTCTTTTGTGAAGCCAATTTTTCAACAGAGACAATATTCCAGGGGGAGGGGCCGGGGTTGTGGCTCAGCGGTAGAGTGCTCGCCTAGCATGGGCAAGGTCCTGGGTTCGATCCTCAGCACCACATAAAAATAAATAAAGAGATTGTATCCAACTACAACTAAAAAATAGATATTGAAAAAAAATTCCAGGGGGGAAAAAACAAAACAAAACATGGAGTCAATCAAACCAAGCTGACATATCTGGGCCTCCAAGAGAAATCTGGATTGGAGGGAGAACAGCCATTCTCCACTGGTGAAATAATGAAGTTCCCTTGTCCGTATTTTGTGTGAGCAAAATAAATAATCTGATGTTAACTCATCAAATTATTTTTGATGAGTGCTTGGCTCACAGGAAAACTGATTCTGTTTTATGGAAAGAAGTGTTACCTGATTTTAAAATTTAAAATGAAGCCAATTAGGATTGTTAAATTACACTGTCATAATTCTGTCCTTTGATAGCAGAAATAAATAAATAAACCTTTTAAAAAATAAATAAATAGGGCTGGGGATGTGGCTCAAGCGGTAGCGCGCTCGCCTGGTATGCGTGTGGCCCGGGTTCGATCATCAGCACCACATACCAACAAAAGATGTT